TGGATAATTACTGCAGTGGGGCACTGACAATGCCTCGTGTGTGCTCATGGTTGAATATAGCGCTGTATAGCCCTTCTGGTTTGGCGCTTCTTTTTGATTATAATAATAATAATCATGGTTGAATATATATATTTAGTCCAACGGTGTTACTTGCGCTCAGCTTCAGTATACGCCTTTGTAATTAATTATGCTGGGTTGGACACAAATATTGATATCAGCAACTGAAATTGAGAATACCTGTCCTTTAGCTGCCCGTCCGGTGTAATGTTGAAGACTAGATCAATACTGTGGCATGTAGATAAATGGTTCAGAGAACCGACAAGTTGAAAAATTAGACACACGTGCAACACTTGGGTATCTTTATTGTAGAAAAGATTCGCCACACAGTGGCTTCATCAGTCCAGTACAAAGAAGTGAGGATCAGAAGGGGATTGATGTTATCAGTCCCTCAGCCTGGGATCGATGTAATTTGTCAATCAGTCGTGATTGATGAACTAATTAATTACATTGACTCCAGGCTGAGGGACGACTAATTTCCTCAATCCCCTTGTGATCTTTACTTTCTTCTTTGTATTGGACTGGTGAAGCCACTGTGTGGCAAAACGTTTCCACAGTAAAGATACCCAAATGTTGCACTGTGGCATACCTGGAGGACAACGTGTCTTTATGCCTCTACTCCTGTTGGTTCAAAATCAATCTGAAACATCATTGGTTCTACTGATGTCACATTGATGAAACCGTACCAGTTTTTCGTTATTTCCTTATATGAAAGACATCACTACATTAATGACATATTTTGTAGCTTTCTTGTTTGGAATGTCTATAAAAATATAATCTTTAGTGTTAGTCAATTGAGGAATGGCATACAGTGTAGGACTGTGGATGAACAGATATGTAGTGCTCCGTGCGCTAGTAGAAGGCGCCCTACCTGCACTCAGGTCAGCATCCCTGAAGACTGTGTGCCTGTGTCCTCACGAGCGAATGATAAAATAGATATTGTTGGAAATATATTAATGTGAGCCGTTTGTTTGTATCTGCCGATGCATGGATGTTTCCTTCTATAGTGACCACGGTGTTCTCCTCCGCTGTGTTACAACCTGGAGCGAGGGCGCACAGGGAGAAATACAGAGAGATGGGTATGCATATCTGCTTAGCTCAAGTGAGCTAAGGAGATGAAGGCTTTCGCAGCGCTGTATCCATTCTAATTCCCGAAATAAACAGTAGTGCATACTTCTCTACCTCCCAGTAGTTCTCCCTATACTCCCTCCCGGTAGTATCATAGAGCAAAACACTGTGGTCACTGTATTTCATTGGCAACTTACACACCGGCCTGCCCGCCACAAGGTCGCGGCCTGGTCCACCCTAGTGCAAGCTGGGACATTGCAAGATAAACTGAGGGCAACATTCTTCATCATTTTAATTTCCTCTCGAGGCCGCCATGCGCCAACTGGAAGAGGCAAGTCCATATCTCAAGATGTGTGAAGGATCGCGCAAGAGGGATCATTCTTCACCCCAGGAGACCTTCTTCAAGGTGAAAGTTGATCTTATCAACACCCCGATCTAATTTAGATCTCGAGAATCCCTAGATCCCAAGAAGGGATTATTGTTGTTGGTGACCGTGATGATGGTGGTGGTGGTAGTGGTTGTGGTCGTGGTGGTAGTGGAATTGGTAGCAGTTCTAATAATGATGGTGGTGGTTGTGATGCTAGTGGAGTTGGTAGCAGTGCTAATTATGATGTGGTGGTTGTGGTGTTAGTAGTTGTAGTGGAGTTGGTAGCGGTGTTAATAATGGTGGTGTTAGTGGTGGTCATGGAGCTGGTGCTAATAATGGTGGTGGTGGTTGTGGTGGTAGTTTGGTAACGTTATTATTAGTGTTGGTGATGATGTTCATAATGTCTGGGATGTGTTAGTGTGCATAATGATGCTTTAACTCAGTGCTGTCTATGTGGTACCCGCATGCGGCCCCTAGACCAGGTGGCCCGCATGCGCACGTCAGACCAGGGTACAACAATGGTCCACCTTGTATATAAATGGTAAACAATACCGACAAGATGAAACAATTAAGACACATGTGCAACATCTGGGTATCTTTATTTGTAAATAAAGATACTCATATATTGCACGTGTTTAATTCTACAGTGGTCTACCTTAGCCTTTCCCGTGTCTTTCACCTGTAGCAGTCACCAGAGACGATCAGGGATACTCACATTACTGAAGGGATACTCATAAATAAATTCAAGAAAATAATTTTTTTTTTTACATTGATTAAGCGCAAAAAAAGATAGTTTCTATAAGCATTGTTATAGAAAGAATGATTTATTTCGCATTAAACTGTATAACAGAGTACTGAGATAGACGCGGCAGCTCTGCCTTTACGAGTCCACAGGTGGTATGAAGTACTTGGATAAGTACACAAATAACCCGCATATAGGAGAGTGAAGCTTATGACGACGTTTCGGTCCGACTTGGAGCATTTACAAGTCACTTGTAAATGGTCCAAGTCGGACCGAAACGTTGTCGTTAGCTCCTCTATGTGCGGGTCATTTGTGTATTGTTCCAGTCAAGGTATTGTCTTTTTGTTCATTACTTGGATAAACCCCTAAGTGGGTGATACATTGTACAAATTAGATGTGTTTCGTACGATCTGAGAAAAGTATCCCCGGATCCCGAAACCCCAGCCCCCTCTACTTCAACCCGCGCAAGAAACATAGTAGTTGAACCGTCCAGCCCTCAAGAGGCAGAGGGTTGCATCTAAACTTATTGAAGAGACCTAAAGCTATAGGCCAACCTTCCCAAGCGGTCCAGTAGCTGGAGATCAACACCTTGAAGGCCTCCCCCCTCAAGGGAAGTGATCCAAGGAATTAGATCACAAACTCCAGGCACTATGTAACTCTACGGGTTTAGCATTTCCCCATGGAATTAATAATAATAATAATAAAGAGGAAGAAGAAGAATAGGCTGAGAAGAACTAGGGTTTCTAGCTCACTGTGTTCAAGAAGTCTAGCTGTATCGTAATTAACATCCTCCAGAGGGTTAGGAGCTGTATCCCAACACCCTCAAGAGGGCCAGGCACTGTAATAATCCGAACCTTCCCCTGAGTTACACGCATCAGCGTTGAAGGTTCGAACCCCCTGAAGAAGTGTTCAGTAAATACATGTTTTGCTAATTTCTCGCCCCTGATTCCAGTGTTTTTTGCATCCTATGCGACGTGTAAATTACGTAACTTAGAACTCATTAAATATGCCTCGGTGGGCGACTTTATATATACAGTTCCCCCCCCCCCCACACACACAGAATATTTTCTGATTGTGTTTGTATTTCACGAAGTGTTAAACTGGTTTGGGTCATTCAGTGCAAGGAGTAATTGAGGCTCGAGCCTCCGTTTGCCAGGCTGCTGCTGATGTGACGCAGGTCTTGATCGTATGATAAACTGCTCACTGGTGCCTTCAGTCCCATGACGTAGGCAAGGTAAAAAATAAATTACTGGATTTTCGATGGAAAAGAAGCATCCACTCCATAAAAGGGTAAGATAGATCACAACATGAGATGTGTATTATGAGATGCATATTAGGGGCAGGCGAATGTGCAGGTGGTGAACGTGGAGGTGGTGGGAGTGTGTTGTGGTGGGCGTGGGTGTGGAGGTGGTGGGTGTGTGTGGAGGTGGTTAGCGTGGGTGTGGAGGTGGTGGGCGTGCGTGTGGAGGTGGTTGGCGTGGGTGCGGAGGTGGTGGGCGTGGGTGTTGAGGTGGTGGGCGTGCATGTGGAGGTGGTTGGCATGGGTGTGGAGGTGGTTGGCGTGGGTGTGGAGGTGGTTGGCGTGGGTGTGGAGGTGGTGGGCGTGGGTGTGGAGGTGGTGGGTGTGTGTGGAGGTGGTGAGCGTGGGTGTGGAGGAGGTGGGTGTGGAGGTGGTGGGCGTGGGTGTGGAGGTGGTGGGCGTGGGTGTGTAAGTGGTGGGCGTGAAACACCATGGTAATTATACTTGACAGAAGAAACTCTCAGTCAAGTCAGTGTTGATGGTAAACGAGCAACAAGAGTGTCACCTCGGCAGTGACGAAACAAATACCTGATCTTCACCATGTTCTTTACTCTTGCTGGAACAATAACTGATCCTCGGCAGTCTTCTTTTTGTTTGCCAAAATAAATAACTGATCAGCAGTACGTTATTTAATTCACAGCTAACACGCCATTTAGAAAGACAAATTTAAACCGACGTTGTGATTTGTTATTTAAAATTTGTTTTCCGAGGGTGGATTATTTTTTTTTAAAGTTTTACCAGCCACGGTATAGTGACTTTCTTTATTTTATTTTCGTGTTCTTTAATGTCTTCTGGAGCAAATAACGGAACCCAAATATTTTCTTTACTGTTTGAGGACAGAAACACAGGAGGTTGATGGTTCTGCTGAAGTGGGTTCCAGAAGGGGTTCGAAATATACAGATCAATCCACCTCCTGTGTTTTTGTCTCCATGTGGGTTATTATTGAGCATGTGTTTTTATGTTTGTTTATTTGTTGGAAAAAAATAACAATGCAGCAGCTTTTCTGTAATTTATGTTTACTGGAACATATACAAGGAACTATTACTGAAATAAATGAATAGATATGAAGGTGTTCCTGTGTTGTTATCTTTGTTGAGCAGTGGAGTGTTCTTGTAATATTTTGTTGTTATTGTGGCTTGGCGACACCATTACTAGTAGGCTGGCTGGCTGGCTGGCTGGCTGGCTGGCTGGCTGGCTGGCTGGCTGGCTGGCTGGCTGATTGACAGGCTGGCTGGTGTTCCAGCACTGGCCATGGCTTTACCATCATCACGACTCTAATGTATCCACTCATGCTGATTGATCACAGTATTTCTATCTCTTTCTCCCTCTCTCTCTCTCTCTCTCTCTCTCTCTCTCTCTCTCTCTCTCTCTCTCTCTCTCTCTCTCTCTCTCTCTCTCTCTCTCTCTCTCTCTCTCTCTCTCTCTCTCTCAGCGCTACGCCATATACAAAGTTTTGGTAATTCCAGGTACGCAAGATCGGTGGCGGCGGGTTCGGGGAGATCTACGAGGGTCAGGACCTGGTGACCCGCGAGCAGGTAGCCCTTAAACTGGAGTCTGCCAAGCAGCCCAAGCAGGTCCTCAAGATGGAGGTGGCCGTCCTCAAGAAGCTTCAGGGTGAGTACTCCTTCCAGACTTTAATGGATTGGTGACTGAGGACGAGGACCTCGGCAGGTAATTACTCCTATGCAATTACACCTAGGCAGTTGTAATTACAGGAAGGGCCTAGGTAATTTCACTAAGGTAATTAGAACCCCTGAGATTCACGACTTTCATCTTTGTATTAACAAGTTGTTCTACTGCTCTATATGCTGGCCACTGAAGAATATTACTTAAATACTACAGTATACTCATGCATTATATATATATATATTATATATATATATATATATATATATATATATATATATATATATATATATATTATTTATATGTTTGTATGTGTGTGTGTGTGTACTCACCTAATTGTAGTAGCAGGGGTCGAGACTCAGCTCCTGGACCCGCCTCTTCACTGAACGCTACTAGGTCCTCTCCCTGCTCCGTGAGCTTTATCATACCTCGTCTTAAAGCTATGTATGGTTCCTGCCTCCACTACATCACTCGCCAGACTGTTCCACTTCCTGACCACTCTATGACTGAAGAAATGCTTCCTAACATCCCTGTGAATCATCTGAGTCTTCAACTTCCAAGAGTGACTCCTTGTTTCTGTGTCCCCTCTCTGGAACATCTTGTGTGTGTGTGTGTAAGCCAATGAAAGGCTTCGATCACGTATCGAAAAATTATTATTATTATAATAAAAAATTATTATTATAGCGTATGGAAAAAGCTTCACTCAGCGAGTCATGTACTGTGACTCGCGTCAGGGGACACTTTATCATATCTCCTGACGGAAGGACTGGTGTTCTCATTGAGTAATATTACTAGTACAAGTGTCTGTTGGTAACAGGTAACAAGGAAGCCTTGTTTCAAGACCTACCTGGTCATTAGATGCCACACACTCGTAACACCAGTGCGCCATTGACGTAAAAGGAAGCAGAACGACAATAACAACAACTAGTGATAGAGGTGGATGTTGTTGGTAGGTGGATGCTGGTGGTGGGGTGGATATAAGTGGATGCTGGTGGAGAGTGGAGGTGGAGGTTGGTTGTGGAGGTGGAGGCTGATGGAGGTGGAGGCTAGTTCTGGGTGGAGGTGGAGGCTAGTGCTGGGTGGAGGTGGAGGCTGGTGGTGGAGGTGGTGACAAGAGTCACGTCTACCTCAGCTCTGCCCAGCACACTTACACCTTGGCAAATACTTTTCTCTTACCTGAAGACCTTGAAAGATGCCACATAACTTGGTGGAGGTGCAGTGCCATCAGAATTCTTTCACTCGAAAGGAACCCATAAAGTTTACTTTGAGGAAGTTTTAGACCTCACTTAGCCTCAGCGAGAGAGTTATAACTTGGTTTGAGTATGAGATGGAGTGCTGTCACAATGACGTAAGCTCTGGGGACCAAGACAGATAAATAAGAGGCCATCATTGACTTGAGGTAATGATAGTAGAGCAGGGAAAGATAAGTCTCGGACAGGGAGCCACATTAGGTGCGAGGGAGTTGACCGTGTTGACCATGATAGGGGCCATGGTGGTCGAGGCCCTCTTGGGCGGATAGACGGTAGGCGGGTAGACGGCTATGATGGACAGTGATGAGCAGGAACCATAAGTGGCGAGATAATCTTTGACGAATAAACCCCATTGTGTGTGCGTGTGTGTTTGTTTCATCCTTCACATGTGTGCCTCACCTCCCCCACTCAGCTTACAGCTGACTGCTGTCAGCGGCACTGTTGCTGAGCGCCACATTCACTCTAGGGATGCCAAGGGCCATACTAAGAAATGTGCTAGTTGTTCCTTAGGGACATTATATTCGTCATGGAATTTTAGAACTTTGTAACGTTCAGAAGCAGCAGTATTAGTGTTGCAGTGATGTCAGACATATATTTAAATTATAACCAGTAAACCCGATTTCCCTTAAATGATAAGAGTAGTTCATTGCTACGTAACAGTGACACGGAATTACTCATTAAACAACTGGCGGCATATACAAGTTCTTGCAAATTAATCTCAACTGAATGACTGCAAGATGTGCATCAAATATATGAGCGGGCTTATTCATAAATATAGCTCAATACTTACTCTTCTTGAGTATGGTATGGAGCTTAGCCAGATAGGAAGAAGAGGGAGGCCAAAAATAACTATAGTCAGTGGATTTGTCCTTGTCAGTGTAAATATGAATTGCTATACTATATTTTTGTCCACTAAGAATGTGTAAGTTTGTTGGGTGTATATGCATCACTTTATTGTGCTCATATTTACTAAGAAGACCACGTGTAGCAATGCGCGTAGAGGTGTCATTATTAACAGTGCTGGTATGTCACACAGGTCGGGAACACGTGTGTCGGTTCATCGGGTGCGGTCGTAATGAACGCTTCAACTACGTGGTAATGCAGCTTCAGGCCAAGAACCTGGCAGAACTGCGCCGCGCCCAACCCAGAGGTGCCTTCAGCCTCTCCACTGCGCTCCGTCTTGGCCACCAGATCCTTAGAGCCATCGAGGCCATCCACGAGGTCGGCTTCCTGCACAGAGACATCAAGCCGGTGAGTTGCTCAGGGAGGAGTTCCTGTCCATCTCTTCTCACAATCCTGTTTTCTTTCCTTTCTTTATTTGCACCATTTTATGCTACTTTGTCGATTGTATTACAGGAGGTCGACGCTAATAATTTAGTTGGACTCCGAAAGAAGAAGAACTACCATACACTGTTTACACCATATTCTGTTGTTGGTGGTAAATCTTATTTTTAAACGCGTGAAGCATTTTTCCACGCTCACGAAATTTAATTTTATACCCTTGAAACTCAATACTCCGTTCGCCATTTCGTATTTCCACGCAAATGAAGAAATCTCCCACCCACATACCTTCACTCACGCATAATCAACTAGATAAATATGTAGACACACTATAGAGAAGAGACAAAGTAGAAGGGGAATTGGTAAAAGCAATTCAACAAACTCCAGAAACTAAGATAACAAACATGTCAAAATTTGAGTGGCAAAAAAAAATCCACAGTAACGATGAACTCACAACCCATACATACAACCCATCATTTAACATCACCAGGGAGAGAGAAGAAAATAACAAAGTAAATAAGGGCCATTATATTGTACTAAAGGAATTGTTAATCAGAAGCGGCGGTAAAAAAAATGGTGAGTCGAATTTATCATAACAGTTATTTGTGTATTAACACATTCAAAAAGTCACTCTTGTGAGAGAGGACAACATACTCTTAAAAATAGTTCCGGAATTTATTTAGGGGAATAAGAAAAGTATAAACACAATCAACTATATTATAATCAAGGAAAATATGATAATCTAAGACAGTAAGGTCTTGGATGCACTGGAAGACAAACAAAATTCATATGTAGTACGCACAGACTTTGCAAAAGCATTCGATCATAGTGTAATAGCCCACAAGGAATGCGAACTGGTGGATTTTTAACTTTCTAAGACATATAACTCAAAGAGTAATGGTAAACGGAGCTAGTCATAGACTGCTATAGTCAGAAGCTCTTGTTTTCCAAGGCACAGTACTCGCCCCAGCTTTTTCCTCATCATCATATCTGACATAGCGAGGGATATAAATCATATCACTGCATCATCTTTTCTTCCAGTGGGCCACAGAAAATAATATAAATGCTCAATGAGGACACATTTCAGTTACTCCGCTTTGGAAAAATTGAGGAAATATAAACTGGAATGGAGTATACAACTAACTAACCACTCAATAGAGCGAAATCTAATGTGATGGCCTTAGGAGTGATAATGTCAGATGCACTCACGTGTCACTATCACAACCGCCACGAAAAATGATAGGATAGATAATAAGAATATTCAAAACAAAGGATGCCTAGTAAATAATGTCTCTTGTTCTCTCTAGGCTGGAATGTTGGTGTAAATAACAGCCCCTTGCAAGACGGGCGAAATTGCAAACCTGTAAATTTAATCACGAACCTAAATTACTGGGAACGTTTAAATTCCCTTGGAACGCAGACGTGATAAATGCATTATAATTCACACTGAAAATTCTAGAGGGACTGGTCCCGATTCTGCTCTTACAAATCTTTCCCTACGAAAGCAAGAGGTTCGGCCACCCTTCATACATAAAGGGGATTACCAGCAGACCCCTGGCTGTCTTGGAAAGACCCTGATAAGTTCCTCAACTGAGTTTCTGACCAGATGGGCTTTGGTTCGTACATCGGACTGTGTGCAGGCGGCATCAGTAACAACCTGGTTGATTAGGCTACCCACAACGGTTGGCTGACACATAGAAATCCATTTTTTCCTGCTAGGTGGGCACTGGCAGCATAAGTTTAGAGAAACTTGTCCAGATGTTTCTCAGTGCCAGGAAATAGAACCCGGGACTTCAAGATTGTGAGTCGACTGCTCTCACCAGTGAGCTACATGGTACCCCAGAGAAACACGAGCCTGAGGAGGGAGGGGGGATGAAATAAATCCTCCCTCCTGCCCTCCCTCTTGCCCTCCCTCCTTGCCTCCTGCCAAATGCGCCGTCAGGACCTTGGTGAAGCGAATTTGTGGCCAGGCCCTGGTGTTATTATTATTACTGCTTCTGTGTGTGTGTGTGTGTGTGTGTGTGTGTATTTACCTAGCAAATGCTTGCGTGTGTTGAGCTCCAGTCCGTATTGCTTGATAGGATCTAATACTTGTACTTGTAAACCCCAATGGAAATAAGTCACCCTGACTTTATTGGATTATCCTTGGTCAGATTTACATAATGTTTACCATAATTTATGCCTACAACCTTTATATGCATCAAAACCATTATAGAAATTTACACTGCTCTTTGTACAATCAGAAATTTCCTGAGGAAAGCTTACTTATCTTAATGGCCAAATCTTTTACTGTGTTCTCCAGTTCATTCTACTTCTCACTTTCCCGCAATTGGCAGCGATATTTATTAACATTTCTATAAGATGGTGGGAGCAGTGAGTGTTGTGGTGGTGTGGGTGTGATGGTGGTGAGTGTGTGAGTGTGGTAGTGGTGTGGGTGTGATGATGAGTGTGGTGGTGGTGTGTGTGTGGGCGTGGTATGCGTGTGTGTGTGGTGGTAGTGTGTGGGCGTGGAGGTGTGAGGGTGGTGTGGGCGGGCCTGGAGTGCGTGGGTGTTGCAGCTGCCGCCACACTGCAGATGAGCTGCGGACTCACTACCATCTTGCCCAGAGCTTCACGCACATATTGATTCTAGCTTAGATTGACACATTAATAGCAAATAATCACCCACAGAACAGTGAGGTTTTTAAAAGGCTTACTGTCAACAGAAATGTCTCCAAGGAACATCTAGTAGAACATTTCGGGAACAATGTTTCGCTCAAAGGGCTGCTGCTAAATGTGTTTTTTCTTTATTCTTGGTCATTGTTCAAAACAGGAACTCATAAATGTCACATTTTTTCACTTGTATCACCATGGATCGGGCTCCAGCTCCTGGGCTCCGCATTTTGACCACGTGATACATTCAGATCGATTTGTTTGTCGTATTTACATCGGAATTCGTGTATAAAATTTGCTCCCAGTCTTTCACTGGCTGCCCTTGCGCTCTTGAAGTTCCTCCTTAAATCTCTAGGCTCATTTGAATGTGTACTTCGCTTTATGTCCCTGGTAGTGGTCCCAGCTCTTGTGTGTCTCATGGTGGTGATGGTGGTCCCAGCTCTTGTGTGGCTCCTGGTGGTGGTCCTAGCTTTTGTGTATCTCCTGGTACTAGTCCAAGGTTTTGTGCATCCCCTCTTGTAGGTCTCAGCTCTTGTGTATCTTCTCAGCTCTCTAAAAAGTCATTATAAACTTTGTCAACAGCTTCACTTTTCTTACGCTAATTCCTCGTTGTGAGTGTTTAACCCAGTGTTACTAAAACGGATGTACTGTACATTCTCGACTCATTATTATTATTTTCATGAGGAGGCTCTAAATCTTTAGGGGCCCTACAGCTCCTGGGAATGGGAATTTTGATTCGAGGAAAGGGAGGGTGGCTTCTTTTCTTTGGCTGAAGACCCTTTCACCGGCATGGAGACAACCTCCCTGCCCTTGAATGTTATCGATTCCTGAAAGACGTTCTTACACCTTCGTCAGTGTTGCATACCTTGGAGCTAGGCTGGTAGACAGAGTCGTCCACGACGTACCGGTACTGTTGTCTTCTTGCCCAAGTGTGAAACGGAAGCCTATTAAGCGTTGTGTGTGCTCGCACAGTTGATGGCCTTTTCTTTCCGACTCGTTTACATGTAAGATGGCAGCTTAATCTCACAGACTTTTACTTACAGTCGGTAAAAATTTTTATCTTTACTTTGAGGTTTCGTAATAGTTCTCATTCTTACCCTGTTTCCTATCCCTCCTAAAGAGGGCTAGTCTGAGACTGGGCTGGGTGTGATGGCATAATGACACTACTACAGTGTATAGTCCCAGAAAGGTTACCCTTTTGCTATCCCTCCTAAGAGATGGTAGTCTGAGACTGGCATGGAAATTTTAAGGCATAAATGACATATACAGGTATAGTCCCAGGAACACTTATGTCCATCATAGCTAATTTACCCAGTGCAATGTGTAGGATAATGTGAACGTGGTATGAAATTTAATGCAGTAACATGTTTCGATATCAGTTTGGATCATTAGCGCTAAGACGCTTTAAATGGGTTCTAGGATTTACAGCACCACGTGATAAGAATGGAAGACATGCGTACTTGTATGTAGTGTTACTTCTAATAAACTTATTTATCCTTCAGTTAATTGCAACCTGTTGATCAGTCATGTGCATACTGTATGGCATAAACTGCTAAGTAAATATCCATTTAGAGGGGTAGTGCACGTTACCACACAACTGGAATGAAGTACTTAAGACACAGCATTACTTTCATTATATAATTTGTTAGCTCTTAGATTTAAATAATTTATATAGCTTTCTTATTTTTTAATTTTAATGCTAGGTTGTTTATTCATACCTGTGCCAACTGTATTTAATCATTTTCAGTTCTGGTTTTAAATCCATTAAACACTTGTTAATAAGACATGTTTCACTTGTTCATAAAAAATGATAAACATTAATCCGCCTAATTAATTAGTTAGGAATATAATCATGGATACTCTTAAGATATACTTAAATTAATTTTCACATCAGTTTCTTCATTTTTATCCGTTTATCGCTACCTTTTCTTCTCCCTTTGCAACTTTCATTTAATCACTTTACGTTCTGTGTATTGTATATAATTATTTTCTTAAATGCACTTGTTAAAAACGTTTACCACATTCACTTCGTTCATAAAAAAAATGATCCAAACTAGCATAATACTTGTAATTAATGTCGGTAAAGGAAAAAAAATATAATCAATGGAAAAGGTTAAAAAGAGGGCTTGAGAGACTTAGAAGTGTAAGTCACAACAGGGTCCATTTCTCTCTCAAGACCTGGTCCTTCCAATCTGTCTCAGGCTGCTAAGCGGACTGAGGGTCGACCATCCATCACTCCTTGCACTGAATGACCCACACGGGTTTAGCGTTGCAAATAAACTAAAATAATGGTCCTGCTTATTATATTTTGTAAATAT